TAATGGTAATTACAAAGAAAATGGACCCCCAACATATGGCATCAAAGGCAGTCATCAAGCAGGTTGATTCGTTGAAGTACTTGGGAATCCTGATAACAGAAGATGCGTTAAAAAGTTTAAATTCAGAATAATCACCATCAAGTGCCTTGCCAGCTGGCGTAGGCGTTCATGCATCTCCACAGTTCTCGTTTTTTGGTGTCATGGATCAGTTCCACTGATGATATTCCTCCATGCCACTGTCTTAAGCCACCCACCATCATTTCTCTTGGTCTGCCGTTGCCTTTTCTACCAGTGATTTTTCCACTCGTCACGATATTTTTCAGTGCTCCTTTTCTCATCACCTGACCAAAGAACTTTGTTTGTTTCCTTCTCATTCTTGTATATAATGTTCTACTTTCATCAGCCATTTCCATGCAATCACTGTTAGTTATTCAGAATGTAGAATAGCTCAAGCAAAGGCATTACAAAAAATGAATAACATTCTTTGCAATCTTTCTTTGTAAAATAAGATGAGAAAGTGAATTACCAAGAGCTATATACATCCTATTCTGATATACGCAAATGAATCATGGACAGTTGGACAATTAGTGAAGAATTCTTTTGGAAGCTGCGCAGATGTGGTTTTATAGACGAGTGATGCGAATACTCAGAAGAGATAAAAAGAGTAATTAAAAAGCTATTAAATAAGCTGACACAAAGAGAACTGATCGCCCACATCAGAAGAAAGCCATCTACATACTTTGGAAGCTGGGGGGGGGGTGGTGGTGGTGGGGGAGGAGGAGGAGGGGGGGGGCAAAGGGAGACCGAGAGAGAAGATGCTGGACGTTTTTGACAGCTTGACATGGAAAAATCATCCGTGTCAGAAACGATTGAAAGTATACGAGATACAAAGTTATGGATAGAATGACTACCTCCTAGTGTGGGTTCCATTGTATCATTGTGGGGAGAATAAGAACAGACCAACTTCCTCCTCAACAAGCATGTCGTACTAACTGGGAACCTCCTTTGAATTCGGCGTGTATCTGCCTGAAAGATAAGGAAGCAACGGTCTGCACAAAAATAAGTCAGATTTGTAAAACGGACGTGCACCCAAAACACAGGTTCTGGAACAAGACCTAAGTCCCAAGGTGGACGAACACCCACAACTTTCTGTTGGAGTCACAAGCTATGGACTACAAGATGAAGATGTAGTATTGTTTTTCCCTATCCCGAATAAACAAAATCGCGCAATTGGGCGACAAACTCGCACACTTGGCACACTTTTCATGTGACCTCACCTTTAAGAACGAATTTCCGCATTTTACGAAACGAAACTAAGAAAGGAAAAGCACACGACAAATAAACACACCAATAAACAACTGTTATAGACTTCATAAGATAATATTATTATATAACACCATTGTTTAATTTTTAGCCTTTCTGATTCTAGCGAAATTCTAAATTGATAGAGGGATTATATTTTGGCGGAATAATTTTGACGTGGCACTTCCGACAAAATGGTGGCGGCCTGTAACAAATAGCAATATTAGAACGAATGTCATCGGACCTTCGCACTTAGTCAGGAGATCAAGATTTTGTAAACATTCTGTTTGATTCTGTGAGTCATTTGTTAACATTTGGTTGCTGTTAATACTTTTTGCCTGTACATCAAGCTTAGGTTTGTGAAACTAAAGAGTAGGATTATAAATTGTAACTTAAATCCAGTCTGCTTAGATTATATGTGTGATTGTGAATTGTGATTGTGACTATGTCGGCGTTTTCCTGCGATGGTGAAATAAATGAAAAATTCTTGTATTCGGTATTCAAACATAACAGTGAAACTACCACCAAAGCTGTTACTTTTACGTCTTCTATTATACGTTGACATAGGACATCTCTTAAGATTAAAAGACTACTATACAGATGTTTGATTTCAAGGCTTTAAGAAGAGTTTTATATTGATGATTGATTTGTATGAATCTCTTCTAAACTGAAACTGGCGTGTGTTGGTTTGAAGAAATATTTCAAATAATGTTTTTTTTTTTTTTAAATTACTGAGTATACCAGTATACATTATACTCTTTTGTTTATAATGAATGGGTCTATGTTGGTGGTATGTATGTGCAAATGAACACTTGAACAAAACAAAGGAAACAAAACAGTAGACTAAATGCTGAGGTTGCAAAATGTATTTATTTTTGGCTGGCATATTCACCCTTTGGAGACGAATTGAGCTTTTTTGGAGTTTCAACGGCAGAAAGACGAAGCCTTCAGGGAAGAATGACTTTTTGGCTCTCCTTCGAACTTCTACCCCATATTATGGCGGCCAAACAAATACCCTAACAGGGCCTCGGTCGTGTGTAAAATGCAGACTTTCTGCAACGATTACTTGACAATGTCTCAACACACAACACTGCAAATGATAGTAGCAGATGATAATAGCGACCGTTGACAATTTTGAGCGTTTCTGCAGACGATACTAGCAACCATTGACAATCTCGAGACACGCAGCATTACAGACAATAAATGGTGGGGAGACCACACGCTCCGACGTAGATTAGCGATAGTGTTTTTCCGATTAAACTCACCGTTGAGAGTATCCCCCAAGCCGCTACATGCGGCGTGGATAGGAATCTAAACTAGATGCCTGGAACTCAAGCAAATAAATTGGAGGAAGTTGCAGGAGATGCGGCAGCTGCTGCTCGTGAGTCCCAGCTATCTAGTTTAGCTCCCCCATTCGCGCTGCTTATAGCGGCACGGGACTATCGGAAGTGCGGCATAGTGGCAGAAACAGGTCCACAATTAACATATCGCAGAGATTTGTTTCATTATCTGGAGCCGATTCTAGTTTTGCCGCGATTTGTTCCTCGGCAGAAACTCCGCATTTTGCATAGGACTGAGGCCCTGTTAGAGTATTTGTTTGGCCACCATAATATGAGGTAAAAGTTAGAAGGAGAGCCGACTTTTTTTATACACAATAAATTATAAAAATAATGCGCATAATTTACAAATACAAAACTATATCTATTTGGGGAGGAAAATGAATAAACTAACAGAATATACATGAATCAAACTGAAATCTCAACATTTATTCAAATTAACTACTTATTATTTGCATAATTTATAGTCTTTTTTTTTATTGAAACTTGGGATTAAACATGACCGACCTGAAAACTTTTAATGATTTAAAAAAAAAATTGAAGTCCTAAGCTAAGACTTGTGTGTTTTTGGGAAATAAGGCCCATGGATGGTGTTTAGACACTTCTGACATGTTTCTACTCATTTGCATGCCTTCTGCTATGTTTCGGTTGCTATGACACAACAGGCCTTTTCACGGCTATCCTCTGAATAATGGTCCCAAATTATCGAGGTAGAAAAAATACCCTAACGGGGCCTCAGATATATGTAAATTGCGGACCTCTTTCCGGCGATTACCCTGCATGCAGCGGAAAAGCTTCTGCCGAGTTAAAGTCATCGCCAAGAGTTTTCCCCGCGCATCATGCAGCTGGAGCTGATGGCCTGGATTCAGGAGCAGCAGCTGCAGCTTCCTCCATTTTATTTGCTCGTGAGTCCCAGCCATCTAGTTTAGCCCCCCTCCGGGGGAAACTCATGGCGCATTGACTTTAACTTGGCAGAAACTTTTCCGCGGTATGCGGTGTAGTCACCGAAAAGAGGTCCACAATTTACATATGACCTAGGCCCTGTTAGGGTATTTTTTCGGCCTCGATAATTTGGGACTGTTATTGGGAGGACAGCTAACTTATTGTTCATTTAGGTTTCCTTAGCATCTTTTCTCCCCTTCAAATTTATAAATTTTGTCATTGTCACCGCAGTAACTTATCATTACTTTACATCTTTGCATGCCTGATTTGTGAAACACGCTGCAGTGTTGCTTTTTGTTTAAACATAAGTTTTAGTAGTTTACGAACTGCCAAACTAGACCCATTATTATTTATTTGCAAATTTGCTGTTTAGTATGAAGATGTTCTAGTTGTAAAGGTTAGTTATATTTTTATATGTTTATTGTTCAGCCACCTTTTTTGTGCTATTTAACCTCTCTGTAAACCCTATGATCTGACTGTTTATCTGTCTCTAATCCCCCCAACCCCTAAATTGGGGCCCTGAAGCCAACTGAAAAAGGAGACAAGACATACAAATACTTGAAGTCACCAGCTGGAAAGAGGACAGTTAGAGATGAATGGAGGTGGATGATATCTATGCTGTAAACCTCATGAGCTTGAAATCCTAAAGAAGATGAATGCGAAGGAAACACCTGTTCAAGTTTTTTCTCCATGTAGGTTCCAAGGCCCCGGTTGGGGGGGGGGGGGGGGGGCATGAGTAGACCCACTACCTCCTATACTAAAAAAAATCATGCAGAGTCGACTAAGTGATGGCTTCCTTCATTGTCGGAGTGTATTTACTTTAGAGGTAAAAAACAAATAGTCTGCTTGCATGTAGGCCAGATCTGTAAAACAGATGTGCACTCTGGTTCTGGAACAAGATTAAAGTATCAGGAAAGAAGACCCTTTTGGTTGAACGACCCTTTCACATGGTTCGCTTAAGACCATCAGAAAACACAACATTCGAAGTAACAACGAAAATAATTGTATGGCTGGGGGTTGGTACAACACTGTATTGAAGGGTCGCAGCATTAAAAAGGTTGAGAGCCACTCGTCACGAACAACTAGAACTTTTAGTTGTTTACAGTCTGTGAACATGGAGAAGAACTTTATTTTTCACATGAACATGGTTGTTTCATTCTTCCTTTGAAGAAAACATTGTCCTGACCTGATCTGCCAGTAATACATTGTCATATAGTCCATACTCTGTGTCGTCAGTCATTTGTTTGTGCACAGCCTTTGGTTTCATATATTGCCAGTCAATTCTGATACAGATATGTCACATTTGTTACTGTTTTATGTTTCAGGTTGGTTAGACAGTGTATTTCGGACTGTCAATTCACCCAGGAGAAAATACGTGAGAATTTTTTTAATAATTGGAAGCTTCCGGAACATTATGTGATGGCACGTATTGTTTCTGTCTGTGAACAAGGTCTCAAGCATGAATTTCTGCGTCGCCAGGTCCCAGTAGAAGTGGATGACATGAAAGTATGTCTCCTTTCATTTGTAATATATTATCATTTTATTTCCAATTTACACATTAAAACATTTTTATTTCATCTTTCACCCTCAGCAGGAAGGTTGGCATGTTGTATTGTGGTATACAGGTAGGCTGTGATATCTGTGCCATTCTGCTCAACACATCAGATTTGAGTAAACCCATAATTAGTCATGCTGAATCACATGCTTATTATGGAACAATGGGTCAGTGTTTTTCTGCTCTAAAACTGGGTCCCAGAATGCATTCAGGGAATTGAGTCATTCAGTCAAAAGACATCAGTCATCTGATTTAAGTATAGTAATAATCTGTGTCGTCAAATGCTTTGACCCCATGTCAAGACTGTCACAAAGTGTTAAGCATCAGTCAGTTTCACCGATCAGTCCCCACTGCACCAATCTCTTCAGACTGTGATGGATCTGTTTGGATCAGAGACTGTTGAAAAAATATTCAAGTGGAACAGGGACCTGAGAAAAGAAGAAGAAAGAAGAAAAGTCTCTTATTGGAGCCAGTCTGGGAATCAAAGAGCAGTAACATTAACCCACCATGCACGATGTAAAAGAAGGCTAAGGAACTAAGACGTGGCATTCGTTATCTTACCTTGTAGAGAATATTAGCTGTAAAATCCAATCAGATATGGGCAAGTCTTCAAAATAGTTCCGTCGACCAGCTGCTGAGTTGAGTGCTTGGCAGGATACTGTGTGCTTCAGTTTTATGTGGAATGCTTTTCAGTGTGCTCAACATTGTTTGGATTATGAGCTGCAGATTTAGAAATAGTTGAGTGGCATGTTGTCAGAGAACTGGTGATGCCTTATGCGATTAACTGCATCTGCAACTACTGATCTGATGGGACTGCTGCCGTCAAAGTGATGAACTGCATTTCTTTTTCATCGTGTTCACTGGCTGTAAATATTCATGGAAAATTGGGGTTGTTCATCCACTTCTGGACTTAAAGTTTTCTTGCAGAACTTGAGTTTTTGCATGCACTTCCATTTTACAGATCGTGGCCTGTTGATTCCTTGCCTGTCAGGCAGATGCACTCTAACTGGGAAGAAACATGCCTAAATAGTTGAGTTTTGCAGCATGTTTGTTTATTTTTTTCCCCCTTCACAACGGTGTCCTGTAACCCACATAGGAACACTGCATTTCTAATGTCAGACTGTGCACTTTTGGAGCCTACCTTATGCATTCACTGCATATGTATGCTATTGACCTTGCTGAGACTGCCGTTTGTGTCCAATTTTCTAATGACTACCTGATTGTGAAGTCTGCAAAGCAATTGGGAACAGTTGGTTGAGGGTCTACGCTCTGTTAAGAGATTAAAGACAGACATAGAAGCAAGGACATACTGTATCAGGGTTCTTCAACCTTTTTACACCGGCGAACCTGCATAACAAGGGAAATTGATTCGGGAGACAGCTGACCAAGAATAGAAACAAGATTTTCTCAAACACTTGAACAGAACAGAGCTATTCACAATCTTTTTGCTTAAGCTCTGGACATTGCAGATTTAACAAATACTCATTCAAATTTGGTATGAACAACAAATGCTCGCATAATTAGGTATGTACCAAACAGCTGTCTATCATTGTCTTCATGCTGAACAGACCCTCTCCTGCAAAACACACTAGATCGGACAAACAAGCTTTAGGGAACCAAAGAAACCTCGAGCCAACATCCCAATTTATGGCCCATACTGGAGGTGTTTGACCACATATTGCTGAAGACTGGTGCAGTCCCATTGATTCTACTTGGTCATTTGGTTAAATTCATCATCATCATGTGCCCTGCCTACCCGCGTAGGCGCTCATGCGTCTCTACAGATCACGATCCCTGGTTGACGGGAACAGCTCTCTTGATGATATCTCTGCATGCCATCGTTTCTGCCTTTACCCCTTTTTCCACTGATCTTTCCAGTTATTACGATGTTCTCCAATGTCTCTCTTCTCATTATGTGGCCAAAGAATGGTCTTTTTCTTATTGTTGGATATAGAATTCTACTTTTATTAGCCTTTTTCAGCAATCGATGTTAGTTACTTTGTTAGTAACGATGTTAGTACACTGCTGTGTACTATCGCCGCTTCTTTTCATAACATACATGGACGCCATATGTAGCGAAACAGACTTTAATCAGGGAGAAGATATAACAGAATTACTTTTCGCCGACGACCAGGTACTCATAGCAGAAAATATGGAATGCCTACAGAACCACCTAAATCAAATTAGTAACAAAGAGGAGGAATATAATATGAAAATAAACACTACGAAGACAGAGACAATGATGATAGGAAGACATAAAGACAATTTAGAAATTAAATTAAAAAACAACACCCTGAGACAAACAGAGGAATTTAAGTATTTGGGAGCAATTTTTACTTCAGACGGAAAACTGGACAGAGAAATTAGCTCCAGATGTGCCAAAGCTAATCAAGTAATGGGTCAACTATCTCCCCTGTTGACACACAAGCAGATACCTCAGAGTACTAAAGTGAATCTTATCAGAACTATTTTTTGGCCAATATTATGCTATCAGTGCCAAACGTGGACACTTAGATCCTCCAATGGACGTAAAATTGTGACAACAGAGATGAAATGCCTTAGAAGAGCTGCAGGAGTTTCAAGGAAAGACAGAATACAAAATCATGAAATCAGACGAATGCTAGGAATAAAGCCAGTCTTACAGGTCATCAAAGAACAACAAATGAAATGGTTTGGACACCTAACAAGAATGCCCTGGTACTATCTGCCACAGCGAGCCACACTAAAACGTTACAACAGGCATAAAGCGAGTGGAAGACCTAGGAAAATATGGAGTGATGGCATTAAGAACAGCCTTACAGAAATGAACATCAGTCTTAATAGTGCTCTTGACAGAGCTCATCAACGAACATTACATCTCCCCCCGACACTTCGATGAGGTACAAGGTGGAAGAGAAGAAGATGTTAGTTACTCTGGCCATCCAAGGTATTGGTAACATTCGCCCCAGAAATTACATCACTGTTGCTTTCAAATTCTTCTTAATTTGTTCATTGGCATCCCAAGATTCACTGCCATATAGCAGAACAGGTTCTATGTAACATTTTAGCACCCTCTTTCTGACATTAAACGAGAGCGATTTATTCAAGCGATAAATTCAGTAGGTAGCATAATGAGTGGAAGTTTAACTAGAATAGACAGACAATTTAAATGTAATCATGTGTGCTTGCTATTTAGATTAGAGGTGAGTGAATGGACTTCAGAAGCCTTGATGAACCAAACTTTGAAATCCTTCTTGGGCAGTTTATAAAAAAAAGATTGTTGTGACCTTACCTCTTCACCTCATAATATTCACTAAAGACGGGATTTGTGTAGTTATTGCTATTGGCTGAGTTCACACCTGTGCACACGTTTAGGTCAGAATATCTTCTTCGCGTTCACCGGCTGTAAACTCTGGCAAAAGGTTCTGGTTGTTTGTCCACTTCTGCAGAACCTGAGTGTTGCGTGTGCATCCGTTTGACAGATCTGACTGAATTGTATGCAGACTGTTGGTTCCTTGCCTCTCAGGCAGATGCACTCCGACTTCAAAGAAAGCTCCCAATCTGTTGACTCTTACGACATGTTTTTGGGTGGGCAGTGGGTCTGTTCTTTTTTCCCCTATAATAGGGCCCTGGAACCCACACGGGGAGGTCAGGATATGAATATGTTAGCAGATGTTAGCATTTAGGCAGGTTTCCCGTAAGCCTCGGTGACAGAGGTCACGCCCAAAACATGTTAAATTAAGAATTGACATGGCAGTATTCGGACACTCCCATAACGCTTCGTCTCCAACTTCAGCAGCAAGTGAAGAGTTATATTTCCAATGGTACCAGTAACTGCCTGATTGTATATCCATCTCGCCCCTTCCCTTTGGTGTTGAGCGTTGGCCAGATCCCTTCGTAACTCCACAGCGTCATTTTCCTCAGGCCGTAATGATCTATTTGTGCCTCTGCACTGTTCACTCTCTCCAAAAGGACCCTTACAACATCTAGCTTGTCATACAGCAGTTCACCACCAAGTGGTGCAGAACCAGCCAGTCAGTCTGCTCATTTCCCAACACACTGGCATAACTGGAAAAAAATATATACAAAGGACGCTAACTACTCTGGACTTCTGAAGTGGTGCTTGCCACTGTGCACGGAGCATGCCTGTCTCTACCTTTTTTAGCCAGTTCTATGAGTCATATACAATCATAGCATGTATAAACAGCTGATTCTCAAGCCAGTGGAAGGCAGCAGTGACTGTCTCCACCTCTATTCTCAAACTAGACGTCAGATCATATGCAAGGCTCAGCTGCACTAAGTGAAGTCTATTTGCTTTTGCCAAAAACCCCCCATGTACTTCATCTGCCCCTCAGTACAGAGCCATCTGTATAGATAGTCACATAACCTGGATGGGAGTTGTCATGAATCATTTGTTGAACCTCTGATTCTGCAGCGCAAGCTGGCCTGTCCCTGCACTCATGACCTTAAGCTACTGAGTTTAGTGCTCCTTGTGGCATTATGAGCTGTGATTATCAGTTACTGAGTTCCAGATTCGTACATAATGGCAATGATTGCTTGGACACTTGGACCCACCCCTTTCCTCCTCCACATTTATCAAGCATGTATTGTTTAGGCAGCGAGGGGATGGATTGCATTTAATGCTTCACCCTGTTCGTGCTTAATTATTACTTCTTTAGTTAGTTAGTCGTTACGGTTCCGGCATCACAGTAAACGAGCTTGGCCTGTAATTGCTCAACTGCCTGTGCCAGTGTTTCCAGTCACAAACTGAGTCAGATACGCTGGATACTTCAATTGAAGGCCGTAGCCATACAAAGTGTCCTCAGCAAAATACACACAATTTATCTGGTAAACTATAAGGTGCCTGCCTCCTTAAACACACTGCGAGACCAGGCATCATCGCTGAAAATCAACTTCATTCGATGAATAGCTGGGCAATGAGTAGATTAAAACTGCTCCTAACCATTCTACACATGTCCTCGGCCAAGTTGCAGCCACGGCTAGCAAATAAAAAGCAGCTATAGCACACGCCTTGTCCCAGGAACACAACGAAGAAAAATATATCACCCATCATTGCCATTATGTACGAATCTGGAACTCAATAACTGATAATCACAGCTCATAGTGCCACAAGGAGCACTAAACTCAGTAGCTCCGACTGCAAACCGAACTTCCACATTCTTGCAACATCAGAACTTGAGGAGAAATGGCGATGAGAACGGTCAACATAAGCCAAGTTCTCAACCGTCATCCATTCCCTGTCATTGTCAGAACCGGAAGTGATTACTTCTTTCAAATATCTTTATATGTTTAAACAAAGTGACATACTCTTTTATCAAATGTATTGTCACCTTAGTAAAAAAAAATATTGGTTTTATAGATTCATTCTGGAATTCTAACGGGAGTCATGACCTATTTATATTTAGTTTATTGTTGCCTGGATAAAAGGCTTAATACAAATAACCTCTGCTATCAGCCTTTATTGTGAAGGCAGCACTTTTAAAGAATCTGTTGTCTAATGTTTTTTTTAAGTGGTTGTTTTTCTAAAGGCTTTTTAATTGAATCTTTTGTACGTAGATGGTGGTGCAATTCAGCGACAAATGTACAGATTGTGAAAAGCTGTGTGGGGTGAAGCAGAAGGACCTCGAGCATTTCACCAACAAATTCAACACCCTCACAAAGGAAGAGGTGGCCGGAGCACTGCTGGTGTCATGCAAGGACATCATTAACATGCTTTCTCATATGGTGCCATGCGTGGGCTGCAGAAAGAGGTAACTGTTGCTGTCTTTTTGACAGCTTGTTTGTATTTGTGTTGTTTTCTGGTACAGTGCCAACCGCTTGTGCCGATCGAGGGGGTGGGGTGAATTTCTGTTATGAAGAAGAATTTGTTTATCCTAGCAAATTTTCTTGCTCAAATTCTTATCGGGATAAGACATATTTGTGATAAGAACCATTTCTTGGGTCCCCAGTGAGTTCTTCTTATCAGATCTGCACTGTATCAGGCAATTACAAAGATATTCTGCCCACACCTGCTCCATTTGGTTGGTTCAGTGATGGTTCAATCTCTTACATGATTGGCTCCTCAATAATGTAAGAGTGTGCTTTTGGAACTGTCGTAGTGCCAGACCGAGAGGGCCTAAACTAGAGAGGCTGATTTACGATTATGCTCCAGGAGCTGAATGCAGACAAAAATAATTGCCCTGGATATGTCAGCTATGTTGACCCTGCTGGACATGAAGAATCAGATAATGTATTGTTTAGCACTTATAGAAAGATGTAGAGAGATAGAAGGACCTACTAGACAACATACAAATCTAAAGCTGTAGTTACCTTGCCGGGAATCGAACCTGTTGCCGCAAAATGGTGTGTGCACCTCACTGTGAAAACAAGTGTACTAAGAACATGAATAGGAAGGTATATCTTCTTTGCATCCATCACCTGTAAATACAGGCAAAAATTGTTTGTTCACTTCAGGACTTTGGTCTTCTACCAGGACTTCGGTTTTGCATGCACATCTGTTTTACGGATTTGGTTAATTGGTTAGGTTCATGTTAGTCTCCCCAAATAGAGTAGGTTACTTTTCATTCACAAGTTTGTTGGGCTGGTCGACTTTCCTGAATGTTACGGGTGTATCCCTCTCTGTTTGCTTTCTGTGGTATCTTGCATTTGTATTTTTCTTCCGAGAAAGAGAATGCCTGTGACATGGGTTGCAGCACTCTGTGGGGGTGGGGGGTGTTAGGCCCAGTTTCTCCATGTCTTTGAAGTGTTAAAAGCGCTGGCATGTTGAAATATACAACACGCGATATTAACAGCATTAGGGAACACCACCGTAACCTTGTGCCAAGGTGACAGGTTCAGAAACTATCGATAAGAAGTGAGCTAGTGTGTATATGGGTGGGGAGACTGACATTACTTTTATCAGTTAATGTGTATGCACTCTGACCTTTGACGGAAACTGTTTCTAGGATGACCATGGAGAGGTGTAGTAAGGTCTTGTATGAGCCCTTGTTTGTGGCTTTAGGTCATGAATGGAGTCTGACCATTAAGGGGGGAGGGATGACCTTGGCCCCCAGGTCTTAACCCAGCCTTGAATAGGTACCAGGTAAAGGTCATGGGCAAAAAAAAGCAGCCTGCATTATGTTGATCACATCACCCATTAAGTGCAGATTGGTCTGTAAAATATCTAGGTCTAGCCTCATGTGCCCGAAGGCGTGGAAATGGGTCATTTACTTTATTTCTTTTGCCATGTATATTATACCACAAGGACCTTGTAGTTATTCTGTTGGTGTTGGTCAAGTTCCTTGCCAGATGTTTTGTGTAGTTATGCTTCTGCAAGCTTGTGTCCCCTTCTACATAGTGAGCAACTGTCAGTCCTTAGCCAGTCTAGAGCTGTCCTGCTGTTTTGGGGAACAGCATCTTCTGTGACTGTAAACTCCTTTCTGAGAGGGACACTCTCTGCCATAGTCCATATAAATGTGATACTCTATCATTCTGAGGCTGGTTTTCTCTCAAATGTCTCCTCTTTCACATTCTATGTACTGTGAAACACTGAATGAACTACAGTCAGACTGCAAAAATCCCAGTCTGGGTTCCAGGGGCCTTATTATAGGGAAAACAAGAATATACCCACTGCCTACACAAAAGCATGTCATAAGAGTTGACTAATTGGGAGCTTCCTTCAAAGTCAGTGTGCATCTGACTGTGAGGCAAGAAACCAACAATCTGCATACAGATAAGTCAGATTTGTAAAACGGATGCACATGCAACACTTATGTTCTGGAACACAACTACAACCAGAACTTTCTGCTGAAGTTTACAGCTAGTGAATGTAAAGAAGAAAAAGAAGACTGCAAAAACAAAAAAAAACATACAGGGGTAAAATAACGGAAGGCCTGTTTGAGAGACAAAAAGGGATGTTGCAGCTGGGAAGCCATTGCCAGCACTCTGAAATAAAATTAAAAAAAAAATACAATGAAAATAAAAAAGCAAACAAAGCAACACTGAAATTATCTTAATGAAAAGTGAGTTGCTAAAAGAAATAATAGGAGACAATTCAAATATTTTGGTCACATTAAAATACATCACATTCTTTAAAACACTGTACACTAGGGAAAGGTCGAGGGTGAGAAAGCAAAAGGTAGACAACTGTACATGTGGGAGGACTGCATCAAGAGATGGATGAACATCATTCTAAGAGAGCGTACAACCAAAACATTAGATAGTGTGTTGGAGATCCACTATAGCCGACCTTTATTGTGGAGATGGCACTTATTGATTATCATATTAAATAACTGCATCGAGTGAGCCCAACAGTTTTGGCAGTGAGAGTTTTCAACATGAAAATGGGAACACCCAAAGGGTGGTAGGCATGGGCTTTGTTTGAAAAAAAAAATATCACTACTTTCAACCAGCATCCCTGAAAGGGGGTTCTTCAGGTTATAATTGTGACTAGGCTGTGTGCGCTACATAAAATTGCTTAGGACTGCACGCCACCAAGAGTCCTGAAAAGGACTCCTGCAGTGTTGGCGTGATCAAAGGAGATGGACCCAACTACTGTCCCGACCAGCGACTAAAACATCTACCGGCGAGCCAGTGGGCGACCTAATCGCCGATGTGGAGGCAGGGGGAGTTCAAGAATAGAGACTGAAGGAGTATATTTACAAAGTTAGCCAAAATTATGCATACACAGTAATTGACCAGCAGTGAAATGCATAAAAATTTTCACAGAGGCTACTTGTTTAAAAACGTAATTATTACGTAACATATTCTGCCATATTTAGATCAAATTACCGTAGCTGTGTATAATATTCTGGTTATGAAATGTGTCTGAAGACTAATGGGAATCAAATTGAGCACCCGCAGTAACCTCATACTCCATATGTAACTTGTATGCATCTGAATAAAATTAGTATCAGAATGTTTATACACGTTATTTTACGAACCCCACGCAACACATTGCTACCGACTGCAAATATCTTATATGTAGATACATTTCACTGCTCGGTGATTACTGTGTATACATTTGTTTTGGCTCACTCTCTCTCCCACATATATAATAATGGGAGTTTATGCTGGTTTCACTGTAGGATCTTAACATGCCGTTTATTTGTAAGTTCAGATCATTACATATTGCTGTTATCACTTCGTGACATTTGTATGGCTTTTTTTTGGGGTATTCTTTCAGTGTGGAAAGATTGTTTTATCAGCTGCAGAAGTCACAGCACCCAGCCTTGGAACCATTGGTCATCACAACTAGAGGGGAGATGTCCATCCGGCATGAGTACTTGACCAGTCCCCGCTTGTTGTTCTCTCTTTTCCATGTGCATGGGTTAGTCAGCTGTCAAGTTTTTGTCTTTTGCCATTTTCTGTTTTGTTTGTTGACTCAGTACAAGAAAACAAGAGGGTTCAATTTATGGGCTTTGATACCTATTAAAGGTGAACTTAAATTTGGTTTTTTAGAATGACAGCTAAGAAAGAGTTTCACAGGATAAGATACACATTGAGAAAACCTGATATTATAGAAACATAAAGTTTTGTCTCTATAACTGACTGAGAAGACGAAATAGCTAGCTAGTTGTGTATCCTTTGCAGGATGTTGCAGAACATGCCTCAGCATTTCTTGGCTGTTATGGGTTTTCTAGGAAGATTTTACATTAAGTAGTTTGCAATTGCTTCCCGGAACGGTACCACTGTCAAAACTAACACAAGACAAATTGTCCGCAGCTAGGATCGAACCCGGCATTACAAAAGAAGAAATAGAGCAGTAGTAAGAACACGTAGAAAAAAGAATTAGTGGTGGATCTTGTTGCATGTCCATACCATTGCATTTTCTGTCTTTTCATTGTTGCCTGAAGAGGCTTATAGTTGCCATGTATTGAATGGTGACATGGCAAACTTTATAATTTGTGATATATATATATATATATATTTTCTTCTTTGCGCTCACTTTTGGCGGAAAGTTCTGGTTGTTCGTACAGCTCTGGACTTCAGTCCTGTCCTGAACCTGAGTACTATGTGCACATCCATTTTACAGATCTAACTTATCTATATGCAGATTGTTGGTTCCTTGTCTCGCAGGCAAATGCACTCCAACTTTTAAGAAAAAACCTGTTGACTCTTGGGACATGCTTTTGGGTAGGCTGTGTGTCCATCCAGCCCACAATGAGGCCCCAAAACCCACACACGGATGATATATATATGATATGCCAAGTTATCTTTCAGGAAGACCTAATTTGCATTGCTTGTGTTTCCTTTGAAGTTCAGATGTTTAGGATTTATAGCCATATGTAAATGTTAACCGAGGATGGGTCGCCCCATAACTGCTCCGTTCCTGTCCCAGTGGAGTTTACACAAATGTCCTTCACTGTCCCACTTGAAAACTGGTGAAAATCTGTCCCAGCAAAATCTTGAAGCTTGCACACACAAAGTAAAATTGCATAAGGCGGCAGGCCGTAAGATGTGTCAGCTTTAACAGTCACACACCAGAATTTAAGTTTACTGCAAATGGGTCACGAAAGCCTTCATGGTGAAAGTACATGCTATTATGAATATGATAGACCTACCCTAACAAGGGTCGAAAAATTTTACTAATTCAGGATGTGTCCTTCAAAGTTGGAGTGTATCTGCCTGTGAGACGTGAATTGGAAAGCTGTTCAAATCAATTTTAAAAGCCATATCTGTAAAACAGATGTGCACAAAAGCTCTCACATTCTGGAACAAGACTGAAGTCCACAAGTGTATGAACAACCAGAACTTCCTGCCAGAGTTTACAACCAGCAAGCACCAACAAGAAAAGATCCACTATTAAAAAAGCCAAGCACACCTCGTCGTCTACAGCAGTATCTGATTTCTTCTTCTTTGCGTTTACTGGCAGTAATCTCTGACAGAAAATTCTGGTAATTCATCTACCTCTAGACTTTTTAGTCTTGTTCCAGAATCTGAGTGTTGAATGCAGAGTGTTGTTTCTTTGTCGCTTTGACACCCCCCCCCCCTCCTCTCCCTCCGGACCCACAAGGTGATAGTATCTGGTGTAATATTATGTTTACTATGCTTTGTTTCAGGTCCAAGCTACATTCGGTTGTGGAGTCCATGTCTAAGAGTAAGAAGAACAAGAGATGCAACTTACATTCTCTGGAAACTCACAAGTCAAGAGCAATGGGGTATGTACTGATAGCTGTCTGTTCTCTAGTATTTATGTCCGTCTTCTCCCACTCGTATCACTGTTTGTCTCTTGCTCAGTCACCTCCCTAAAAACCCTCAGGTATTGTTTTTATAAAAGCGTTATGTCTTTCACTATAGCTGAAGTACTTAACTTTCATGTCTTTGTTATTTCTCCTTAGTTTTCTCCTGGGGGGCTGCGTGGTCTCGAGGCATGCTATCCGCCTCGAGTGCTAGAGGTGCCGGGTTCAATCCCCGGTAAGGGCTGGGATTTTTTCACGTGGGCTTGGACTTCTAGAAATTCCCCCTGGTCTCTGGGTAGTGAGATTGGACGCCCGTGTACATTGTTGCGCACATAAAAAAATTCCTTTGCAGTTGGACATCGAAAATAGTAGCCTAACGGCGCTGCCCGGGCAACATTTGGAGTTAAAAAACTACCCAAAGTATTTCAGGATCCTCGCCGGTGCTACAGAGCCCGTGCAGTGTGCTGAGTTTCTCCAGCTCTAGTATTTGTGTCCGTCTTCTCCCACTTGTATTACTGTTTGTCTCTTGCTCAGCCACCTCCCTAAAAACCCTTGTTTTTATAAAAGCGTTATGTCTTTCACTATGGCTGAAGTACTTAACTTTTATCTATTTGTTATTTCTCCTTTGTTTTTCTTCTGGGGGCCTGCTTGGTCTCGAGGCATGCTATCCGCCTCGAGTGCTAGAGGTGCTGGGTTCAATCCCCTGTAAGGGCTGGGGATTTTTTTCATGTGGGCTTAGACTTCTAGTAATTCCACCTGGTCTCTGGGTAGTGAGACCGGACACACGTGATTGTTGCGCACTTTAAAAATCCCTTTGCTGTTGGACATCGAAAATAGTAGCCTAATGGCGCTGCCTGTGCAACATTTGGAGTTAAAAAGCTACCCAAAGTATTTCAGGATCCTCGCCGGTGCTACAGAGCCTGTGCAGTGTGCTGAGTTTCTCCAGACTCCGACTTGAGTTAGAAGAACCGAGCACTTATGGGTTACTACCCGTGTGCCATGATGTTGATCCGTTGTTCAAAAAACCTTTAAAAAAAACTTCGTTTTCTGTATTTACCTCTAAAAGTACAATTGGCACATTATGTTGGGTTTGCATCTAAAGTAAAAGACCTGACCCTTTACACGCCTTCAGGCGTTTTGGGCTTATAGGGCTAGACTTATGTTTTATAGACCAGTGGGCACTTGGTGGATGATGTCGCTGGCCTCTTTTACGCCCCAGGACTGTACCTGATACCCTCAGCCAAGGTCATTTTTGAAAAAAGAAGACCAGCTTCGCCAGGACCCATACCGCAGGCAGGCATCTGGGGTTTACATCTAGGCTGCGATATTTCGGTTCTATGCATCCTGTTTCAATAAAACTTTAACTAGATACCTTTTGCGACATTCTTGTTAAGCGGCAGTGGAAACCACAAGGGCATAGAAATCAAGGAAGACCCAAAAAAATACACAGAGAAGGGAGCTAGAGAGGGAAGTTTAAAAGATAGGGAGACCTGCATGCAATAGTTAAGGATAGAACAACTTGGCATGAGTTGGTTGAGGGCCTATGCTCCAATTGGGGATAGAAGGGTATTCCTCCACCTCCACCCAACACACAGGGATTATTTCTTTATTTTTGTAACCTTTTTTCATTGCCAAACTCCCTAAAGCTTCTTTATTTAATTGTATTTGTATCCATGAAATATATCCTATGGAACATCCTAGATCAATGTTCTTGTTCATTCACAGCCAGACTTCATCATCATGCTGTTGTGTTGTGATTTGTCACACACCGCTCACCATCTTGTTCTCCGTTCTGTTCTATCTTGTGCAGCCTTCTCGACATCATGGAGATAATTCTGTCCACACCCTAGGTCTCTCTGTTGAAGAGTTTCTCTTTAACAACCTAGTTTGCTCAGTCTGTCTATTTCCCATTTCAGTGCCTCTTTGGGGGGTTCACTGTCCATTTCTCCATACAGTCAATGGTTTATCATATTTTTCTTGCTTGCAGATGCTGGTTGGAGGCTTGGGATGCCCTGTCAGAGTCCTGCAGAGAGAAAGTCTTGGTTGTGGAGTGGAACCAGCTGTTGGCTACCATAGACACGTATCTGGACAAACACAAGTAAGCTGTTGCTGTTGTCTTGTTTTCTGACTTCTTCTTTTCTCTACACCTGGAATGCCTCGTGGCGTCAGAGCAGGAAAAGAACTCTGGAACTGGCCCTTCTGTTCGCTTTGTATAAAGTACTTTTCAGTGTCTCTGATATTTCTGCGGTCTATATTCTGCATGGTCGACCTCTGGTTCTGTTACCGTTGTATCTGTATAACATAGCTCTCTGTGGTGCCCTGTCTGCTGCCAGTCTTGTTACATGGTCAAACCATTTGATTTGTTGTCTACTCTATAAAGTTCAGTATTGTTTCTGTGCCGACTTTCTTTCTGATATCATCGTTCTATGTCAGTCTTTCCTCGTTACACCTAGCATAGCATGTAGGCATGTCATTTCTGCCGTGTCTATTTTGTTCTGTCTTCTGAAGACATTGTCCATGTTTGACATTGATAGCATAGCGTTGGTAATTCTTCTGACTTAACTAGCTGAACGGCAGCAAGCAAGACTCATTATCCTTGTCCAGGTTGGTGGACATAGGAGTACTATCTGGAGCAGCCATACATGAACTTTTCACCAAGGACACAAGTAAAGAATCCTCTTCCATGCTTTCGGGTGTATTAGGCATATAGGGCTAGACCTGTATTTTATAGACCCAATTGGTACTAGGGAGTGATGTGGTCAACATCACATCGACCATCTTTACTTCCCAGGACTTTACCTGCTAGTGTTTGAGACTTGGTTGATCTGGGAGCCAAGGTCATTGTATGAAAAAAGTCCGGCTTCATTGGGACCTGAACCCGCAACCTTCAAGTTCGCAGGTGAGCTCCCGAGCTGACAAAACATCTGAACAATCAATACAAAACAGACATGAGCAGTCATTTTACGCTTGTCAAGTTTTTGAGGAGAAAATCCGAGATGATAATGTTCGTTAATCACTAACTTAACCAGCTGTATTCTATCATCAACACACGTCTGGACAATCATTAATGAGCTGTTTCTGTTTTTATTGTCATCTTTCTTTAATGTACCCGTCTGATATAGGAAGACCCAAAAAAAAACACACGGAAAAGGAAACTAGAGTGAAGTGTGTAAAAAAGATGCGGAGATCTGCATGCGATAACGAAGTTTAGAACAACCTGGCATGAGTTGGTTGAGGGGCTATGCTCCATTGGGGGCTAGAAAGGCAGAAGAAGAAGAAGAAGCATCTTTTGGATATTTTCTCCAGGGCGGTCAGCTGAGTTAGGAAAATTAACAGTCAGAGAGATAGGCTGGATCTGCAACTGTTGGTGTAAATTAAATGTAAAGAATAATAATAACTGAATTGAAAAAACATCATAGCCAACCAGTGTGATACATAGGGGGTGTTCTCTTAACCCTACCAGACCTGAGGCCCTGAAACTAACTGCCCCCTTTACCCGAGCTCCTGGGCATTTACACGAAAAACAAACATGATATACACAAATATTAGTTACATGCAAATAAGTGGTTAGAATAAGATGAAACTTGGAGACATTGTAGAAAATAGATTTTACCTTTCATATAGCGTCAATATTCCACCATTGTGTGCCAATCCACACAGCAGGATTAGCCTTGTTTCACAAAGTGAGCACCAGATGTTGCTGTTTGAGGGACATGCCCCCTTCTCTTACTATCGATCTAGTTTTAAATCTATAATTGTCATTCTCCTCATCACTTGAGCTCTCACTGACTGTGTCACTTCAACTGGGAATGTATTCTTCATAAAGTTCTGACTCCTTAGAGTCTGAATCAACCAAAGTATCGATCACCTGGTGGACTGTGAAATGCCTAGACCTACTTCACTTTCCTGTTGAAGTTCTTGGTCCATCAGCCGCTCGTTTCATTGTGAATTTTCAGAATTTTATCACGTTAAACCACACAAAGTAAATCTAAACACATGTGGGCAGCCATTCTTAATGACTAACCACGAAGTTTGATCATGATTGGTTAGTTATTTTTAGCTTGTGACACGTTTTATCATAGAAAATTAGGTGCAGCGGTTTAGCGGCAGGTTATGAAATTACAGGAAAAGCAGTACAGCGGTCTGGTAGAGTTAAGAAAATAAATGAATGTGTGGCAAACTATGGCAGCGAGTGAGCAGTGGTTAAACTCTGATAGGTCATCACAGTCGGAAGAGAATGGTGCAGTTGGGATTTGGTTGGCCCTCGGAGAGAAGGTGCGACAGACATACAGTCAGACGTCTGCTAGTAACATTGGAAATAGAATGTAGCAATGACTTCTGAAGATAGGGATAGAGTGCTTATGGGATTGTCCTGAATGCTGTGATCGTTTCTTAACTCGATTTTGAAAAGGAAGTGTAAGTAATGCTGTCTTGTCTACCATGCTGGTATGCTATGATGTTTGATTTTTAAATCAGTATTATTCTTCACATTCGCCGATGGTAAGTTCTGGTTGTTTATCAACCTATGGATTTTAGTCTTGTTCCAGAACCTGAGTGTTGCATACACGTTTTACAAATCTGGCTTATTTGTATGAATACTGTTGGCTCCTTGCTTCTCAGGTAGAAGCATTCTGACTTCAAAGGAAGACTCCTAGGTCATGCTTGTTGGTGAGGCAGTGAGTCTATTCTTATTTTCTACACAGTGGAGCCCCGGAACGCTTCTGTTGCTGCTTTTTCTTCTTCTTCTCCTCTTCCACCTTGTACCTCAGTGAAGTGTCGGGAGGAGATGTAGGGTTGGTTGAGGAGCAACACTCAACAGGGAAAATCAGTATTCAGTAATGATAACCTTCATCTGTAGGTTATTGGTCAGACTTGGAACAAACTTATCATAAAATCTCTGTTTGATTGTCCTCCAGATTCTGCACAGAATGCAAGTCCAAGGTGATGCTAGCATACAACATTCTTGTTGGTGAAACTGACAGCTCAACTGAGAAAGGCTACTGTGCTGCTCTCTATGAAAACCTGCGATGCTGTGCCAAAGAACAGCATGTCCACGTTTTGAATGATACAGAGTTCCTGGCGAACCTGCTGGAGAAAGCAGAACCAGAATTTATTGGAGGGTGGGTGTTTTTATCTGTGCTTTTTTTCTGTGCTGAGTCTAAAAATGATGAGTGGTATGTTGTGGATTACAGCTAGGCTGTGATGTCTGCATGTTTGGGGCCAGGACATCCAGGTTTATCAAACCATTAGGCTCCTTCTCCCATACAATTCTTAAGGGGCGGAAAGTGTTCGATAAAATTTTAAGTGGTGGGGCACGGCCTTTTACATCAAAAGTAGGATTAGACGACGGATCAACATCATGGCACAAAGGTAGTAACCCAGAAGTGCTCCGTTCTACTTCTGACTTCAGCCTGAGTCCGGAGAATCTCAGCGCAGTGCATGGACTCCTTAGCACTGGCGAGAATCCTGAAATACTTTGTGTATATTTTTAACTCAAAATTTTGCCTGGGCAGCGGCATGCTTGACAAGAAAGATACATGAATAATTTACTAATAATTGGGGCTGTGTGTAAAGGAATTTAGTTAGTTTCTACTACCTGATTGTGTTATCATCTTTGTAAATTTAATGAATATTTATGAATCCCAGGAAGAGGGACCGGCATGCCAAAACTCTAGACATCGCTCAGGAGGAGGTGTTGACCTGCCTGGGCATTCACATATTTGAACGTTTGCACAGAATCTGGCAAAAGTTACGCAGTGAGGAGCAGACGTGGCTGATTTTATTTTACATGGGAGTGGATGCCTTGCGGAATAGTTATCAAGTGAGGCATCTGTGTGTGTGTGTGTGTGTTGCTTAGATATTAGTGAATGCGTTTTAAGTTTCATGTTTCTTAATACTAGGGCTCAGTACCTTTGTTAGGCGAATTAGTTGAGGCATTTGTGTGTGTGTGTGCTGCTTAGATATTAGTTCAATGAGTTTTAACAATTTTATGAAATCGGGTACTGGGGTTCGATTCCTATGATATCCGGAAAATTTGTCAAGTGAGGCAGGTGTGTTAGTAAATGTGCTTTAACAGTTTCATGATCCCAAGTACTAGGGTTTGATTTCTGTGGTGAGCAGTTTCATCATCAGGTACCGTGCCAACTGGCGTGGGCCATGATGCCTCTCCACAATCTGTGATCTGCAACAGCCTGTACCAGTTCCGTGTTTTGACACTCCCTCTATGCTATGATAAAAGGCTGTCAAGAATCTTCTTGCATTGTCTTCCTCTGTCTCTCTTTCCACTGATCTTTCTAGTGGTCACAACATGTTCCATTCATTATGGTTTTCTGGTGGTAGTAGTATGAGGGAAAGATGTTGGGGGGCCTCATCATGTATTTCTTCTTCGCATTCACTGACTTTAAACTCCAGCAGAAAGCTCTGGTTGTTCGTCTACTGCTGGACTTAAGCATTGTTCCAGAACCTGATTGTTGCATGCGCATCCAGTTTACACATCTTGCTTATTTGCATGCAGATTGTTGGTTCCTTGCCTCTCAGGCAGATGCACTCTAATTGCGAGGAAAGCCTCCCCCACTTATGTTGACTTACGCTGGGATATCACATTTTTTTGCTCTGAACCAGTGCTTACTGTACTATAAGTACTGGTAGGGTAAGTTCTAATTATTTACGGCATTGGAGTAAAAGTAAAGGACCCTTTTCCACATCTTCAGGTGTATTGGGCACGTAGGGCTAGACTTGTATTTAATAGACCACTCAGCACTTGGGATGGGAGATGTGGTCAGACGTTTACCTGGTACATTTTAAGATTTAGTAGACATGGGAGCCAAGGTTGTTATTGGAAAAGTCCAGCACCTTCTGGGTTTGACCCACAATCTTCAGATCTGCAGGCGAGTGTCTAACTGCTATACCACAGTGAGTTCCAATCATAGGAGTGCAAAAAAAAAAACCCAACCAAATCATTAAAAAAAAATTAACCCGCTACATATAATAATCTTATAACGGTCATATTGTAATTAGCAGTAGCAAGAAAAGATTTTTAAAAATATATTAAAATGAGGTGCCGGTAATAAACTAATTTAAAAATTAAAAAACAATAATAGGAAAATCAATAAGTTGTTTGTCATCATCAATCAGCAAGTCCTTTTACTGAACGTCACTGTCTTCACGGCACGCCTAATAGTATCCCTTACCCTAACCAGCTGTCTGGCCCCATCTGTTTTCACTGCCAGTCCTTTTATCATGTCCTGTATCCATCTTCACAATCAACCCCTGCCTTGCCTTCCACAAACTGCACCATCTTTTCCAAGCCACCATAATTTATTGTCAGCTCTACAGAATTCGTTATTACAATAAGCTGCTGCTCTTTCTTTGTTCACCGGCTGAAAGCTCCGGTGGAAAGTCCTGGTTGTTCGCCTCCATTTAGACTTTGTTTCATGTTTCTTAATACTAGGGTTCAATGAGTTTTAACAATTTTATGAAATCGGGTACTGGGGTTTGATTCCTATGATATCCGGGCAGACGCACTCCGACTTCAAAGGAAGTCCCCAGTTAGTTGACTTCTAGGACATGCTTGCTGGGAAGGCAGTGAGTCTGTTCTTGTTTCCCCCACAATGGGGTCCCGGAACCCAGGTGGGGATTACAGTAAACAAACAGAGGATGTTGTGGCAATAAGCCTTAATCAACAGAACGACTACTACTGTTGATTTCAGAATTTCTGATTTTCTCTTTTCTTAACTTGTGCTTCTTTCAGACAAAAATCTATAACTAAATGTAATTTCTCCCCCTCTGTTAGACTGCCTTAGAAGAGAAACAGGGAGCCTCGAACTTAGAACTCTTGTGTGAAGAATTGCGGGAGAAAGAAAAGAAACAAGAGGTCAAAAAAGAAATCAAGCGGCAAAAGAAAAAACAGAAAAAAGCAAAAGCCCAAGTGTGTTGGGTGACACCGGCAAGTCTTGTTCAGACGTCCTGGGGAGTGAAGTCCCTTGCAGGGTAGGATTTGGTGTGATTTATAAGTTTTTTGTTTGTTGTTGTTGCTTTTGTATGTTTTGCTGTCACTTTTGTCCATGATTTGTGGCCAGGAATAAAGGTTAAAAAAAAAGGGACCCTTTTCCATGCCTTTGGGCGTATTGAGCATATTGGGCTAGACCGATATTTTATAGACCAGTGGGTGATGTGGTCAGCATCATGCCGCCCACCTTTACTTCCCAGGACTGCAACTAGTACCCACTCCAGTCTGGGTCGACCTGGGAGCCAAGGTCATTTTAAAAAAAAAAAAGTCGTCAGAAATATTGAGTAGAAAACGATTTTTTTATTTGTGTGTCAAAATACTTTCGACAGTTGTATAATAAAATGTATATTGTCACGAGATTCATACATTCACTATCATAGCATTGTCCTTGTTGACTACACTATTCACTGAGTTACTTATTTACAATGCAGCGCAGGGCTTATTTATTAGCTGTATCAGATTGTATGTGAATGTTGTGAAGAAACTTATTGAATCTTGTGTGTCAGTTAAACTCTTCTTCTTGTGAAAGTTTTAGTAATGCTCTTTTAGAAGCTTTACTAGGTGTTTTTATTGTGTTTATGTTTATTCAACGGATCAGCATCACGGCACACGGGTGTAACCCCATAAGTGCTCCGTTCTTCTAACTCAAGCCTGAGTCTGAAGGATCTCAGTGCAGTGCACGAACTCTGTTGCACCAGCAAGGCTCCTGAAATACTTTGGGTAGATTTTTAACTTCAAATTTGGCCTGGGCAGTGCCGTTGACTACTCTTGTCAATTTCCAACTGCTCAGGATTTTTTAGGCACGCAGCAGTATACACGGCGTCTGGTCTTAATACCCCTTAGGAAATTACTAGACATCCACAGGAAAAAATCCCAGCCTTCATCGTGACCTGAACCCAGGACATTTAGCACTCGAGGCGGACACAACCCCCTAGGTCCTTATAAAAGTTTTACTAGTGTTCTTGTTAAAGCTCTATCAGTGTTCCTGTATAGTAGTTACTTTAGTTCTTGCAATAGTTTTTCAGATGTTCCTTAATAAGTTTTATTAATGTACTTATGGAAGTTTTACAAATTCTCTTGTTGTCTCCTTAATTGTGCCCTTATTGAGTTTTTAACGATGTTGTTTTAAAACTTGCATTAATGTTCTTGTAAACTTTGTACCAAATTTCTGTACAGTATTTATTTATGTTCTTTATTAATTTTTTTTTAAATTTTCTGTAGAAATGTTACTATTACTGCAGAAGTTTTACTGTAAATTGTTTTCTAATGTTCCTGTAGGAATTTTTTCTATTTTGTTTTGAAGTTTTCTTTTTCTTGTAGTATTTCTCTCCCATGTTTTTGTAGAAATTTTAGTGATAATTTCATATCAGTTTTACTATTCTTGTAGTTTTTTAAAAAAAAAATAAAATTCTTGTAGCAGTTTGACTAATCTTTTTGTAGATGTTTTACTAATATTGTAGATATTTTGTTAATGTTCTTGTAGAAATTTGTTAGTTCATGCTGAAGTTTTATGCTAATTCCTGTATGAAGCAATCCTGATGTTAAATTGGCCACCTTAAACATCCACAGTGTCCGAGGCTGGTGCCAGGGATGTCCCCAAAAGGCAACAACTACCATCATTCACATCACCACAACTACAGTAGCAGTAACGGCTTTTGTAGTGATGCCAACTTCAACTCTCTGACCCTGTCCTTGCAAAGCTGTGATCTTAATCTTCAAGGTCGACACGGCTCGGGCCATGACCCCGGGCTGCAGTCAGATTCCTCTCCAAATGGTTGGGTGGAGGCGGGAGATGTGTGCAGTTGTAACAGCTGTAGTGTTCATGTTTGCAATGAAGGCTCAGAAGGTCAGTCATTTTGTTATTTCATCATATGTCGTCATCATCGGTATTGTGGCTTTACATGTCACAGAGAGCTTGCAGTTTAGTCTTCAGTTCCCATGTATCTTGTAAAAGTAAAGGACCTTTTCCATGCCTTTCATTCGTATTGGGTATTAGGGCTAGACCTGTATTTTATAGACCAACGGCACTAGGTAGTTGATGTGGTCAGCATCACGCCGGCCGCCTTTACTTGCCAGGACTGCACCTGGTACCCACTCAAGGCTGGGTCAACCTGGGAGCCAAGGTCATTTTTTTTTAAAAAAGTCAGGCTGCGCCAAGGAGTGAACCCGATCTGCAAGCGAGTGTCTAGCCGCTACGCCACAGCGACTCCCCTCTTATATCTTGTGCAGTCCTTTTATTATATATGGAATCTAGCCCAGCTTCTTTGGATGCTCTCAGCTTTGTGGTTTTTTTTCAACGTCCTTGTTTGCTTAGTTCATTAGTTTCCCCCATTACATTGCGTGGTGAACTGATGCATGACACGCTGGATGTTGTGAGGGCCCTTTGGGAATGAGTGAACAGTGCCGAGGCACAGGTAGATCATTACGGTCTGAGGGAAATGGCACTGCGAGGAGTTACCAGGGGATCTGGTATCATCCTAATTTTAACTCTTCGCTTTCTGCTAAAGATGGGTTCAGACACTTATAGGGGTATCCTGAGTGCTGTGATGTCGATTCTCAATTCAACATTCAACACTGCATGTTTCAATATTTTCTTTCCATTGTATCTCATCCGTCTGATCAATCTTCTTTTGTTTTTGTTTACTTCTAGCATGAAATTTAGTGAAATCAGTTGCTAGTGAATTGGTTTCAACAGAGTGACAGGGTAAACTGCAGAGTTTTCCATTGTAAGAGGACAAAGAGGTTATGACATGTGGCCCCCTCCCCCCCACCCCCTCACGTAAATTTCAGGGCCCCATTGCTAATGCTCTGAATGGTCAGCTCTCTCACGGCCAGCTCCAGATATAAGACTGTACAGCTCAAACGGTGTGGCCGGTCGGTGGTAACAGTTGTTATCGAGTAGATTTATACACAAATTGAACTACAGTTTAATTAATATGCAACATTTGTTATTGAATGAATTATTATTTTGAAGATAAATAAATAGGCTATTAAAAAATATTTATTCTCAAAATTATAATTCATTTAGCCCTATCATTTGCTGTAGAAAATCATGTGAAAAAAATTGTATAACATGTAAAATAAATTCAAAACAATTCAGAAAGTCACACAAGCCATGCTGAACTTGAAAAACGAAAGGACTTTGTTTTGCTAATTATAATATTTCCAAACATGTTCATACAGATTTGTTTCCCAGCAGACAAAACAAAATGTGTCTCTATGAAGCAGCAGGCCCTACAGCCTGTTTGGGGGTTTTGCAGGACGAGAGAAAGACCAACTGGTATATCTTGAGCCTGCTGCAGGGCCAACAAATCTAAAAGGGGTGGATTACAAAATAAGTGGTGAATAGTCCGTAAAGAGTTAATGTAATTCTTTCATGTTTGTTCTTATTGGTAAAAATTATGGGATTCCATTTTTGTTCTTTCAGAAAGTGAATGCTCAGGTTCTTTCACAGACAGTGTAGATAGTTGTGAATGTGATATCCTCAGAAAGTCTGTCAACAGAATGGACCCTAAACAGGTGAGGATACTGCTACCACTGAGCGTAAGCCAGTGGTTTTCCTACCTTTTTCAGGTGTTGCTTTTTTGAATATATAAAAAGATCACCCCAACATGAGTAATAATCAGCATGATTTTGGCACATACATTATCAATGATAATATGAAGACTATTCACTATCTGGCTGAGATTCAACAGTATCAGAGCATTGTGAACAGTTCTAGACCTTTTCCCTTATCATTTGGTATAGAAAAACCATGTAACAGTTGTATCGCTTTGAAATAATTTTTTTTTTTGAATTGGAAAGTGAAGCAAACACCATACCAATTTTCGGAAACGAAAGGACTTCCTTTCGCTAATCCTATTTTCAAAACATGTTTAATAAAATTCATTTTCCTTGCAAAATTAGAATGTCTCTATGAAGCGCCAGTATAACTGGTCGATAGTCTGATCAGGATAAATTCAAACACCATCTAACTGGCCATTAGTCTACAAAGAGCTAAATTAAAAAAATAGGTTTTAAATTCCCGGGAAATGTGTCATAATGTTCCTGAAATATGCATGTACATAAAAGTTATCTTAAGATGAAATTAATACTATTTCATTGCTATATATTTGGGATTCAGGTTCATTCCTCATCCGGGTGCCCTAATGACAAACTTGCATTCCAGACCACTGAACAGCCTTCGCTACAAGAACTTTTAGATGTAAGCATTTGTTTGTACACATTTTTTCAGTTTCAGTGTGATGGTCTCTTGTCGAATTTCACAGATTCGTCTGTTCTTTACATTGAGGCTGACATTTTTCTGTCCTTTAATTTTTAAATGAACTGTTTATTTAACTGCCTTTATATTTCATGATGTGCTGTTTATTAATCTTTAATTTCATGAGCTGTTTATTTATCTTTTATGTCATGTTCTGTTTATTTAACTTTGTCATGTACTGTTTATTTATCTTTAATTTCAGGTGCTGTTTATTTATCTTTTATGTCATGTGCTGTTTATATTTTATGTCATGTGCTGTTTATTTATCTTTCATGTCAGGTGCTGTTTATTTATATTTTATGTCATGTGCTGTTTATCTTTAATGTCATGTGCTGTTATCTTTTATGTCATGTGCTGTTTATTTATCTTTTATGTCAAGTGCTGTTTATTTCTTTTATGTGATGTGCTGTTTATTTATCTTTTATGTCATGTTCTGTTTATCTATCTTTTATGTCATGTGCTGTTTATTTATCTTTTATGTCAAGTGCTGTTTATTTATCTTTTATGTCATGTGCTGTTTATTTATCTTTTATGCCAGGTGCTGTTTATTTATCTTTAATGTCATGTGCTGTTTATTTATCTTTAATTTCATGTGCTGTTTATTTATCTTCAAAAACAAAGACTTGTACAAATAAAGGTTCTTTAATAATATTCTACCGAGGTGGACGTCACATGACAGTCCAACATTTTAGAGAGTGGTAAGGCTGGGTTTCCCAGCTTTCTGATGATTTTAACGACCCGAAAATGTCTAGAACTGGCCTTAACCCCAACCCACCTACGTCCCACAAGAGAGTGCAGCCTAGGTCCCACAACTGCATGCAGCCTTTCTACCACCCCCTGAAATTTTAGACTGTCCCATGACCTGTGGATCTCCTCTGTTTGTTAATAAAGCACCCAAATCAAGCATATTATGACCCGTGTTATTTGTTTGGCAAGTCAAGTCTGTTTTGATGGAAGAGTAATTGTTGAGATGGAATGCAGGTGAAGCAAGACAAGGCAAAAGTTAACCTCAGTTGTGTTTCGTTTCATTGAGGAATCGTGTTGAGATTGAATACACATATGAAGCAAGACAAATCGCTTACTCAGAGAAGAATCTTGGCCGATATGAAAATTAGTGCTGAAATGGAGCATATATACAACAGTGCTGGGTATAATATAGTCGAGGGACTCTGCAAAACTTCTTAAACATGACCAAAGTCCAGGGGTGGGTGAAAAACCAACAATTTTCACTGGAGTTTACAGCTGGGAAAGTTGAAAGGAAGAAGACTAGTTTTGGGCTGAAAAGTTTCCATTAAAGGCTAGAATATGGTATGTCAGTTTATAAAATAACAAACTGAAAATAAAGCAGTTAATCATGTTTTGCAGGAGTTATGCTGGATGGATGGTGAAGACGACGACCCCAGTATATCGGAAGAAGAAATTCTGGCATTCAAAGCGCGGCAGGTGGAAGTGGAAAGCAAGCGGCAGACTTTGAGACAGAACCTTCGCCAGCGCTTCGAAGAGTTGCATCAGTCTAGACATGTCAGCACAATTTAGCCTGTCATGTTTTTTGGTACAGCGGAGATGGATGTGGGATAATGGGGAATAGAAGTATATTCTTCGTTTACATTTTATTGTATCATTTGTCAGTGGCAGGATTGCTTTGTGATGTATTGTTGATACTGGTTACTCTGATTTGTTGCTTTGGTGCTGGGGGAATGTTTCTCCTGTCATCCATGTCTTTGTTGAATCTTTCACTCCCAGAAAATTGTGTTTTCTGTCTGTCACACAGATGGTGATGATGTGTTCTTGCATCCGCTAGTGGTGGGTTAGGGTTTCTGGATGGGTAGATGGCTGATAATGCTCAGCTTGAAAAAGAGAATGTACTTAAATGTGGGGAAACTCCTGTGTGGGTTCAGGGGCCCACATTTTTTAGGAGAAATGAAAAAATGTACCTCCCCCCCCCCCCCCCCCCCCCCCCCCCCCCTCCTGTATTTTGTAAAAGGCGACTACTTAGTTGTTTGCCTCAATCGGATCTGTTGTGCTGAAAGGCGCATACATCACAGTCTAGCTGTAAACCGCTGTACAGCTTGGTCGCTGCCCTTTTAGAAGACAGAAAAATAAAAAAAAAGAGGATGTGTTTGTGATCAAACTGTAGCTCACCATCTTGAGGAGCAGCAGCAGCCGTCTGTCAGCATGCACATTACCCAACACACATGGATGTCCACAACAGAACATCCTGAATATGCTCCTGATCTGGGTGTTACCAAGTAATGCACGCCACTCTGCAGACGACAGTTTGTATTTTCTGGTTGTTGAAGTGGGTGCTGCTGCAGCTCTGGCCGCCTCACATATACTGCTACATGATGAAGGAATGAGCACCATGACGAGCGGTTGCATGAATCGGATCTTTCAAGTATCAGCATCAACGCCAGACGCCCAGCTAGAAGAAAGTTGAAGTGGATATCGACAAAGCCACTTCCAACATCGCGAAGAAGATTATGACAACAAACATGACTCAGTATTCATGTCCAGGCTGGCGGATATGGCAGTGCAAAGTGGAGGTTTTTAAACATTTTGCTAAGAGCACAGGACATCTCTTTAATCAACAGTTTTTTATTCTTGTGGAGATATTGAGAAGATCGGAGCAACTGGATCTGTCTGGAGTGCTGCAATAATAATCACTAATAGCTTTTGAGAATAGGGCACTAGAACAGAAATTAACTACATGTGAAATGCACTGTGTCCGCAAGGTCACTAACAACACAAGAAGAGACAAGGTTGCAAATACCAGCATTAGAGAGATAGAGTTGGAATAAGACCATGTCTGGATTATATTGACAGACAAAGAATGAAATGTTTCAGCCATCTAGTTAGAATGCAGCAATGCCAAACTGTATTTGAGACTTTTTACAGCAGAATATCTGGGAGTAGGCAAGAGGAAGACCAAGAAAGCGATGGGTAAATGGTGTAGCGGGAACCTGCAAAAAGAGAAATCCATTACTCAAGCCATCTGAGAAGAGCAAGGCACATACAGAAAACCACGACACTTGGCTGCAACCTGGTATCAATGAGACCACAAAGGAAAGAAGACATCACTTCTATCAACAAATTCACAAGTAAATACTACGGCAGGATATCTATTATCACCATTTTCCTTTTGCATTGCAGAGAGCAATTAGTGGGTGGTTCAGCACTTGATTAGAGGCACTAGTTACTGTTGTTCCCTGCGAGGGAACAGTGTTTAATATCTTAATGTTCCATATTCTTGGGTCACCTCTTGTTGCTGTTGAATCAACTCTTAGCACCCGTCTGTATTAACTGATGTTCCTGCACTTTAACCATAAGAGCAGGGCTATTCAGCTAAGTTTACTGGATGGCCACAATGTTGGAAAGAACATTAATTCCAAATAGGTGGCAGTAATCTGCTGGCCACTTCTGAGATCTCTGCAGGCCCATTGGCCACCTGTTGAATAGCCCTGCATTAGATCATATTTTTCAATCAGTGTGTTTGGTTGAGCAATGTGCTAAAAATCATGATGTAATAACAAATGTGCTAAAAGTTACGACCTAGTAACAAGTGTGCTAAAAGTTGACGTGGTAACAGTTGTGCTAAAAGAGAGCTGACTAGCACTGAAATGCTGTAAGAATTCTCCTTTACTTGAAAATAGTTCTTGAGCTGTTATGGTTTAGCGGCTAGACGCTCACCTCCAGATTCAGAGGTCATGGGTTCAAACTGACGTGCCAGATTTTTTCTCTCAAAACATGACCTCTTCGGTGTGAGCCTAGCAGTAGCTGGGTAACAGGTAAAATTCTGGGAAGTAAGGCTGGCCGGCGTCATGTTGACCACATTACCCATCGAGGGTCAGTTGGTCGGTAAAAAATATGAGTCTAGTCTGATATGCCCAATGGGCCACTGGCATGTAAAGTGGACTGTTTACAAGGGAAGTTGGCAACAGTGGACTGTTTACAAGGGAAGTTGGCAACAGTGGACTGTTTACAAGGGAAGTTGGCAACAGTGGACTGTTTACAAGGGAAGTTGGCAAATTGGATCTGAACCTTCAGGAAAAGGATTGGCTATGAGGGCTGGGTGTCGGACAAGGGTATGAAGCAGAAATGTGATAGGGGGCTTGGTGAGGCCGCTGATGCTAGTCGGCAAGATGGACAAGCTCGGAACGTGGCTGCAACCTTCACGTGGAACACCCCAGCTATGCGGCTTCGTCTCCCCATAATCATCTGCGTCAGCTGAAATTCAACAGTCAACTCAACTGGTGCGGATCAGGTGAATCCACCACAGTGTGATTTCTGTCCAGTGCTCTGAATGTCAAAATGAAGAGATTCAACTAAGCGTGAGAGTAACTATGACTCTCTTAAGGTTGCCAAATTCCTCGTCATCTAATTAGTAACGCGCATGAATGAAATAATGAGATTTCCACTGTCCCTATCTGCTACTTAGCCAAACCACAGCCAAGGGACCTGACTTGGTGGAATCAGCAGGAAAAGAAGACTGTGTTGAGCTTGATGTTTCATGTGCATTCCTTCATTTCTGACCACGTGTGAGCTTCAGCTCTGAGTTTGCCATGTGCATCTGCATGCACCTTGTTAGAGTGATTTGTGTTCTAATCATTATAACAACTCTTACTCATTACAGTCACTGCTATTATTTAATATCCTTGTCAGTTATTAACGTTCACTTCAGAGAATTATCACTGTGAGCATGTGCTCCAACACTGTCAACTGTATGCTGACAACAGAGACACAATCTGGCCTGTTCCAGCCACAATGAAGACAAAACTGTATGGTACACACGGGAGGATATGGACTGCAAGATAGCTTTCATAAAGGCTACCGGCCTCCTGATATGTTTTCTGCCAGAAGGTTCAAGGAATATCACTGATTTATTCAACATTCTTACTTTTCTAAACACGAGTGGTCCCAACTGGAAAGACGGAAAGGCATCTGGGTTTAAAAAAAATAATTAATAAAATCTGTAAAAAATGCATCCTACTTTTAAGGTTTTTTTTTTAAAGCCCCTTCGCATGTGGTAATCATATTCAGCCTTTAGTGCTCCCTAAATTACATTTTAATATTCTGGCATCCAAGCTGTCCTGTTATACATTAAATGTTTTGTGTAACCAAGACAAACATTGATTTATTTTGTCAGACTTTGTTTTCTGTTTTATCTCCCAGTTTTGCTGTTGTTTTTTTGTTGAAGGTTAGATAGATTGTACAAGAATTCACAGACAAATAGAATGACAAGAAATATACAGGTTTTTAGAATTCACACACAGCTTATACACACACAAAGTAAAATTGTGCTTGGAGGTTTGCTGCAGTGGGTTGCCACCATGCACTATCTCTTGTCTTGGTTGGTTGTACACTCTTCTCAGACTGCTGTTTATCCTTTCTTGATGTTATTATCCTCCCACTTGTATCATTGTCTTACCTTTTCAGCTATTCCTATTTCCGTTTTTTAATCTATGTGTCAGTGCTTTTGTCATCTATTCTAGTACTACAGAATGTGAATAGAGATTGTACGGATAAAGACCTGGGTTTCAAGATCTAGATGTATTGTCTGATTGCGAACTTTGTCTCTTCTTGTCTCTTGGACCACGTGTCTTAGATATCTCATTTCTGAAGCTGGCTACTGTCAGCTGTTGTCATTGCCCATGACTCACACCCATAGGTCAGGACTGGCACAAAGGTAGAGCGGTAAACAACCATTTTCGTCCTCTTGCTAATTTCGCTTTTGCTACCAAACCTTCGGTTTATGGTCAGGAAAGTCTCCCAGCAGCTTTTTTTTTTTTCTTTTCGAGCATCCAGCTCTGCCTCCATTTCAGTCTATTACAGCTCCAAGGTACTTGAACTGGTCACATCCCCCCCCCCCCCCCCCCAGCCCCCAATTAATAGCCTTTTATGGCATGCTTTTTTACTGAAACAGGGTCTGTTTTCCTGATTAAAATTGGGCCTTGACACCCACATAAGTGACGACCCACTGCTGGTTGTAATTTTTTTTAAAACATATATCCAAGAATATGTCTAACTACGATTTTGAAGAAGCACTCTTGTCCAGTGAAATACAATGGTTAGCATACTATAGATATTTGATGGATCCAGCAAGGAACCCCCCTACGACCCACTATGGAGTTGCAAATTTATAGATTTTCTAAACTATCCAAGAATTGATTTCCCACAGGGGTTTTGGCTACAGTGGCTGTTGTAAAGGTAAAGTCGGGAGATGTGAACCAGCGTCATTGCATACGGTTATAAATCCTAAGTGCTCTGCCACCAGTACGGACAGCTGATAGGAATTGTCTGCCTGAGTCACCATCGAAATGTAACTCTGTGGCTACAGCGACGTTCCTCCATTATTTACCCCAGAGTGTCAACTCTGTACCAATTTCCTAGAGGCTGGGTGAACCCCGGGAGCCACCTGGTTTCGAACACCGACCGTGGGCTGCAGCGAGTCTCAGCTGGATTTGAAAGCGAGCCTTCTATCGACTGCGTTAACGCGGCCCCTAATGGCTGTTGTGAATCTGTAAAGCTTAAGTCAGTAT